TCATTGTCATTTAATTGAAGGAACTGTCTGATTTCTTCTTTAATTTCCTCTGTGAGCCATTGGTTATTCAGAAGTGTGTTGTTCAATTTCCATGTATTTATGAAATTTTTGAAATTTATTTTGCTATTGATCTTCAGTTTCACCACTCTATGGTCTGATAATATACAGGGGGTACCTTCAGTTCCTCTGCACTTCTTAAACATGTTCCATGAGCGAGTATGTGGTCTGTTTTGGAGAGTGACCCGTGTATAGCTGATAAGAATTGTGTATTCTGATTTTGTTGGGTGGAACACTCTGTAATCATTTGTTAAGATCATTTGTTCTAGAGTCCGATTGAGTTCTAGTATTCCATACTGATACGTATTGACTTATTGTCACGACTTTTTCTTTTTGTTGAATTCTCCCCTTTTACATTTAATTTTTTGTTGTGCCCAATGGATTCATTCTGCTGTGCTTCGTGGGGTTGTGATCTTTGTTGCCTTTTCCTAAGATATTGCCTAAAATTTTTTGGAGTGCTGGTTTGGTATTCATGAAGTTCCTAAGGTGCTCTTTGTCCTGAAAGTATCTTATTTCTCCATCAATTTTGAATGATAGTTTTGCAGGGTACATCAGTCTGGGTTGGAGGCTGTTGTCCTTTAGGGCTTTCAATACATCACTCCAAGCTCTTCTTGCCTTAATGGTTTGCATCGAGAAGTCTGCTGTGATTCTACTGGGCTTTCCTTTGTATGTGATTTGTTTCTTTTTTCTAACTACTTGGAGAACTTTGTTCTCCTGTTGAGTTTTAGGAATCTTAACAATTATATGCCTATGTGTAGATTGTTTTTGATCAAGACTATTTGGAGTCCTATATACCTGACTTATCTGTATGTCAAGTTCTTTTCCCCTGCTTGGGAAGTTTTCTGCCGTCACTTCTGTGAACAATTTTTTTATGTCATCTGCACTCTCTCCTGTTTCTTCTTTGGTTCCAATCAGTCTTATGTTATTCTTCTTTGTATTGTCTAGCAGCTGCTGGATTGATTTCTTGTGGTCCCTTACAATTTTGAAGCAATTTTTCTTTTCCTGGTCACTAATTGCAATCTTATCTTCTATATCTGAAATTCTGTCCTCACATGGGCTCATTCTGCTGTGTATACTTTCAGTGGAGCTTTTAATCTCCTGGATATCTGTTT